ATATCCCATATTACCGAGCATTATCCGCCAACACCTAGACGGCAATGTAATATGTAATGGCCTATGCCTATTGACCAGAGTCCCTAGCTGCATCCACAGGTAGGAACATCGTGCTACTGGTGCGTTCGGGTCCCGTCATTCGCGATCTATGTGGATCAGTTCACATTTGGGGGACCATCCGCCAGTTGTTATCTCCTACTTTTACGACAGGGCAACACCAGTAAAGGTTTTTCAGAACCGCTCACAGAGCGATTTTATATGGATTATGTACATGAATACTCACTGTGAAATTGCTCAACACGTTGCCGTTCAAGAAACTCAAATGTGTTCTCCTTGTACTTGTAAGTGTGATGACTTTAGTTCTACAAGGAACGGTTTTGAAAACAACAACGTAATCATTTAATAAAAGTTTAAAAAACATCGCTTTTCGTCAGAATGATAGGCGACTGACCACCTATGGTAAGAATGATTCTAGTCCAAAATGGCATACCTGTACTTGCCCACATCTCATCACTAGGTGTTGCGAAACCACAAGTTCTCAAGAGTGAAAGGCCTTCTCGCTTGTGACATTGTGTTCATTTCAATGCAGTTGTATCCCGACTCCGCCGTACCACTGATGTTTATGACGTAGAATATGCTACATGCGCTATGTGCGGTTTGCTGTGTGCGCTGTAGTTGTATGTTGTATGTGTATGCTTTTCTCATATACGCTGTCATTTTCACGCTATAACTACCTGGTGGTTTTAGTTTTAGTAATTTAGTTATTCATTTATATTAGTCGATCGAAGTAAAATATATCGTCAAGAGTTAGTAGTTGTCCTCGTGCTGTGCGGTCGTTTGTTCCTGACTTTTAGAGAATCAGAAGGGTTCACAACATTTGGCGACCACGCCAGGATAGAAGCGAGCATGCCAGAGGAACTATGTGATTTGGAAGCCAGCTTTATCGCCAACGGAATTCGGTATGGATTTTAAGGCGATAGGTTGAGAGAATACGTGGAGAAGAGGCTCCGACAGTACGCTGAGTTTGAAGAGCGCAGTGCTAGACGGCAAGAGGGTGCGCTCCGCACAGAGTTTAACGAAGAGCTCAAGAAGATGAAGGAGCGCATCGCCAGCAGTACATATGAGGGAGCAAAACGAGATTTTCTTGCCTCGCTCGGAAGGACGGCAGACGAGGCGTGGAAGACTTTGCTTCCAGACAATCAGCGGTCTGAGGAGTATTTGAAGCCAGTGAGAGGATGAGATCCAAGGCCCATTGCGTCGGTGCAATGCATGGCGACATCGGCCGGAGACGCTCAGAAGCAGCTGGAGTCTCGGCCGAAGGACGTAGAGGCGCAAGATGTAGAAGCGCAAGACGTAGAGGCGCAAGACGTAGAGGCGCAAGACGTAGAGGCGCAAGACGTAGAGGCGCAAGACGTAGAGGCGCAAGACGTGGAGGCGCAAGGCGTAGAGACGCAATACGTAGAGGCGCATGACGTAGAGGTGCAAGGCGAAGAGGCGCAAGATGTGGAGGCGCAAGACGTAGAGGCACAAGACGTAGAGGCGCAAGACGTAGAGGTGCAATACGTAGAGGCGCAAGACGTAGAGGCACAAGACGTAGAAGCGCAAGACGTAGGAGCACAAGGCGTAGAAGCTAAGGGAATGAGAAGGGCGATACTGGTTAGCATGAAAGAAATGAGCGGCAAGACTGTGTGGAAGATGGAGATCGGATGTATGTTACCTGGTCCAGCGTCCGCCCCACGAGGCAGTGGCCCAGTGACTGTGTCGTGTGTGACAGCCCAGATCTGCACGCTTGGTGAAATAATTGGTTGTGTGTTGTCTGGTCCAGTGTCCACTCCACGTCGAAGTGGACCAGTGACCGTTTCGTGTGTGACATCCCACAGCGGCAAGCTTCGCGAAATCGAGTTGGCCGAAGTGGTGAGCAGTAGTGATATTCCACCATGGCCACCCCCACAGCAGCGGATGACTGGTTCTGGGCGCGTAGTCAGAGCCCCGGTCGCTTTTTGACTTGTGAATTATTGTACGGTGGAGAGAAGCCCTTTGGTGGGGAGAATGTTGCGAAACCACAAGTTCTCAAGAGTGAAAGGCCTTCTCGCTTGTGACATTGTGTTCGTTTCAATGCAGTTGTATCCCGACTCCGCTGTACCACTGATGTTTATGACGTAGTATACGCTTCATGCGCTATGTGCGGTTTGCTGTGTGCGCTGTAGTTGTATGATGTATGTGTATGCTTTTCTCATATACGCTGTCATTTTCACGCTATAAGGGCCCTTACACACTACGTACATGTAAAACGCAACTAACTTGAGCATACGTTGCGTATGCGCCAGCCTGATCAAGTGCAGTTGCACACTGACAGGTGATCTGCTTTTTACGTACATGTACTGATGTAGTGCAGTTCGGATGAAATGTTCTGCTCTCAGAACGAGTGCTGTGTGTGCTTCTTCGATTTCGTTCTGCATCTTGTGTTGGAGCCATGCCCATGGAGCTCAGGTTGACTCCGGCAAGGAGAAAGCGGCGACGTAAAATTGTTGCCGCCATGATATTGCAGGACCTGCAGAAGCCAGTGAAGTCGTCTGATGGCGGTCCTGTTCTTGATATTTTCTAGATGACTGATCGCAGTTGCTCAAATTTCATGGTCACGACGATGCTCAGCATGCTGTTGCGGAATGGTACCGTCAAATACAGAATTGGTGGCAACTTGTGGACAGCTCACCCTGAGAACGAGTTTGGAACGCCTTGTTTTTTGATATATCGCCCACAGCTCCATGAGCTTCGCCTCCATTTCTTCTGTGCACTGGATTTTCGGCATCGTGTCGCGCTCAGCAATCAAACAAGATCGAGTCTACTACGGCTTGAACAACACGAGTTCAGGTACGAGAATTTCAGAAGCAGGCGAAAAGTCCAATGGACAGATGAAATTGAAACACGAAAATCCACACAGCACCAAACAGCAAAAACACCAACAAGAAGTTGAAGTCCGAAAGCGCGGGAAGGCATAAAAGCTAAAAAGCTAAAAAGCAGCCTTCTACACCCGTCCGAGATCTGAGTAAAACGTTTACGCAACTTTTTAGATTTCGTGCCATATGACGTCAGTCGACATGGCAACTTTTACAGGAACGCAACAAAAAAGCGGTTTTCTACGTAGTGTGTAAGGGCCCTTACTACCTGGTGGTTTTAGTGTTAGTTCATTCATTGTTATAGTCGATCGAAGTAAAATATACCGTCAAGAGTTAGTAGTTGTCCTCGTGCCGTGTGGTCGTTTGTTCCTGACTTTTAGAGCATTAGAAGGGTTCACAACACTAGGTTCCAGTACAGGCATCGAGTTTGTAGCAACTGAATAGATCGGTTGTGTGCTGACGATAGCCATTGACGAGTAATGAGCGAAAATTGGCAGATTCTGCTCGAAAATCATTAAAATAGCGGAACCATACAAACCTTATGTCAGGCACTTCCCAGTTTCATGAAAATAATGCTTCATTCCTTTATCCACATACCCTATTTTTCCGGTTGTAAGTCGACCGTTTACGACTTAAAATAGCCGGAGAAAGGGTGGGGGTCGACTTACAACCGGGATTCGACTTATAACCGGGAGCTATCAGTATCTTACAAAAAATGACCTGCACTGCATGCACGAGTGCACCATGTTTGGTTTGGTTGGGTTGGTTTGGTTTTTTATTATTTCAGTTCGTTGGCTCAACAGTACAAAGTACAAATATCAAGAGGGACGAACGAAAGGAGAAAATAAAACAGAACAGAGAGGAAGATGCAGCTGAAAGGAAGGAAAAACGGAGAGAAACGGAGAAGGAATGTGGACTGGGCGGATTCATGAACCATTACTAGAGAAAAACGTAGAAGGAATGTGGACTGGGCGGATTCATGAACCATTACTAGAGCAGGGCAATGCATGAACAGAAGGGGCAAGTCGGTCAATGTGTACACATTGTTGCCAGTTTATTGGCATTTTTCAAGGATTGGGATGTTATACCCTCCAATAAGGAATATTTACATGATTTGTTGTTGTGTTAGTAGCTTGAGGTGGTTAGTAGTACTTCTGTGGGTGAAAACTTTAAAACGCACAACTGAGACCTCCAGATACGGCAGTCGACCTATGACCGGGGTCGACTTATAACCGGTCAAATACAGTACTTAACATAAAACCTTCCTGGAAAATGTCAAAATTCTGCTAACTGATGGCATTATCCGCCTAGTTCTAGTTGACAATCATTACTCTTGTTCTCATTAACTCCGGCGGAAAAATTGTTCCAGTGACGTCTACATGAAAAGAAGATCCCCACTGATGTAAGAACTCAAACATTGTAACCTTGATGCTGCCAATCTTTTTATCCTGGACGGGTTGTGAGTCACGTACTGTAGTGTGATGAGCAAACTTGTAGTAGTAGAATCATTTCCAAAAATCCACAACAGAGGCCGGGGATTTAAGTGTGAGTCCGCTCAATAGCCATTAGACTCACGTCCTCAACATTCCCTTTAGAGGCATTTCCCCTCTCCTTGACAGACTCCTGTGACCAGATACTGGCAGGGAGCTAGTACCGTATGTGTGCGGTGTGTGTGCGCATGAACACGTGGCTTCTCTGCCTCTGTCTTTTAAGGCTATTCATACTTCATTGCGCGTACGGGAAATTCATCGCGCGACCTTCGCGCGATGGCTTTCCCGTATGCGACGCGTTTCCCGTACGTGAAATGAAGTGTGAATCGGCCTTTAGTCTCTAGCTCTGCCTTTGTATCGGTCTGTCTTTGTGTCTCTCTTTTCAAGAAACCAGACATGGTTTTGTTATGGATATCAGAAATGCAAAGTACAAAACATGCAGACAAGCATTAGTATCAGATGCTCACTGAACAGCTTCTTGAACATATGCTACTCCGACTATGGAAACCATGCATGATGCAACTCCACAATCCCCCCCCCCCCCCCCCCCCAACCCACCCTTGTCCTCAAAGCATACAGTCATAACAATCCACACACCTAATCAACAAATCCGTTGATCCCCGAGCAGCAGAAAGTGCTCAATGTCAGAAACAGAGATTAGAACATAGCAGCCTCAGGGGAGGACGCACAATATAAAATCGTTTTCAGTTAATAATTCACATTCCTGCGGTGGAGGCATCAAGGAAAGAATGGGTAAGTTGGGACGTGACTATAGAGGTAAGAGTAATAATCACTTAACCAATCTGGGTATATTTTACAGGGGATGAGGCAGTGTACAACTAGACAATTACGTGACAACCAGACAGATGTGAAAACAAAGATTAGCAACTTTCTGATGATAGAAAGAAAGTGAAAAGCAGTACAGTTTGCATACTGTAGTTATCATCAGTGATTGACTGTAGTTAGTAACCTACTACACTCACACACTCATATCCAGTGTGTACAGAGCAGCAGCACTGCCAGGTCCAGCTACACTGAGTACCAGGGTACTGCCGAACAGTGTGAGTGATGGAGTGTAAAAATTCTCCTGTGGCATAGCTGGTAGTGGATAGACCTGACCAGATGAAATATCATGTACAACACACTTAGTAGGAGTGTGGGGGCAAATAACCATGCAATGGTCAGAAAGCGCGCATGCTGCACTAAACTTCAGCTCAACACCATCAGGTGGAGTGGTGGACACCCACCTACCATCATGGTGTTTGAAGAAACAACCAGTAGTACCACCAACTAAGTACAGTGAATCAGGGAATGAGACGAGTGATGCGTTGATGCATGGTTGTGGTAATGAAGGTAATACTAGGCTAGCATTGGGTGGTGAAGAAGAGCTCCACTGCTTGCTAGCTAGAGAATAGGTACTAACATGATTGTGATATGTTTCACCATCGTAGCTACCATATAGAGAAATAGAACCATGACAAGCATGTGGAGTACACCAGTAATGGCGAAAATGCTGGACGTTCGTAAGTTTAGTCCACCGACCACCACCACCACTGCCTCCACTGCGTCTGCCATTACTGTTATCTGGTGTGTCGCAGTACTGCAGAATAGAGCGCACCAGTGTGTTGGTGCTCTTAGTGTAGGTTCCACAGTGCATGTACAGCATACCACCATGGGATGCCAGTGATGGGGCAGCCAGCTTACTGTATTCACTTGGTAGGTCAATACTGTGCCATGTCTGCAGGTCTGATGTTTGCATGATCTTGGTGACGTTCACACCATCATACCACACAGCAACCAGTTTGTCACTGTACGTGGCAAGCCTGGCATGTTTGCTATGCTGTGGTACTTCCGAATGTGAAGTATTCCAAAAATTAAATAATCGCTTTCCTCCTATTATCTTGTTCCACTGCTTGAGAAAGGAGAACCACATACACACACATACACCAAAACACACACATACGCACAAACACACACATAAACACACCTTGACCTTGACATATAGCTGCCGTTAAACGGCTAAGCTGCATAACCATAAATATACACACATACAAACAAACACTCTCATACACACACTCGCATATTCCTACATTCATAATACAAACATTCACATACACAGAAGCTCCCACTCACACACACGCACACCCACAATCATACACATACACACACAATACACACACATTCATAATACTTGGTCCGCGTCATCGATATTGTCACATATCTTTCGACAATTTGAACTTAGACTTAGGACAACAACGCGTGCACTTGAGGTGATAAAACTTAGTATGATGGAAGGTAAGGTATAGAATGATAACCAGCCATGAGGAATTTATTGTGCAAGGACGGGTTCATACTTTTCTTGGTCTTCCTCGTCGCTGCTCTCGGCGCTGGTGACAAAATAATATGTTTGCTCGGGATCGACTCTCGCTTTCGCAAGCTCATCTCTCTTCCTCTCCTCTATCCGGCTATTTTCTAAAAGGAAGTCGATCGTGATGGGCGCTTTCTGTATAGGACTTCGCGTGGACAGCAAGACTACCTGTGTGTTTCAAATCAGTCGCCGTTCTTTGCAAGATTTTATTTTGAACGACGACGACGCTTACATTGCTTCAAATCTCCACGATGCACTGGATACTCTGAGTGTTGAGCTGGAGGTGAGGGCACTGCGATCTCTGCGTGGCGAGCGATCCCTGAGGTGAGCGATGTTGGCAGTTTTGTAAAATAGAACTGATTCTGAGTAGCCGATTACTTTCTTGTGCGTCGCGCTGCTCTTGCCTGCGCAATGTAACAAGATGATCTATTTTGATGCGGTGAGGTATCAATCAGAATCACCCGCCAGTCGCTCTCGAAATCCACTCGAACTCTAGCTAGACATTTCAGGTACTAGTAAACTAACTTGCTAACCAAAATTGGGATGAAATGGGCTGCCAAGTGAGCATTAGCGACATAAAACAAAGCTAAAATATGAACGACAATAATGCTGACGCGGACCAAGTACAAACAATCACATACACAGAAGCACCCACACACACCCTCACACCCGCACTCACACCCCCACACACACCCTCACACCCGCACTCACACCCCCACACACACTACACACACACTCACCAACCCTCCCCCCCCCCCCCCCCCCCCCACAGACACACTCACATAACACAAATGCACGCATGGAAAAAATGCACATAAATGGACATAAATTGTTTCTTCGGATGGATATGGACAAAATGTAGACCAAATGGTAACACATTTCCAGCTATGTGTTTTTCTCGCTTTCAGATTGATGCAGAGTAGTTCGCCTGATTAGTCTGAAGAATACGTTTGAACAAATATATTGACTGTATCAGTACTCGAACAAGGGACCTTCGCTCTAGGCCAGCGATGCTCTAACCATTGAGCTATGGTGTAGCTGTCATCCCGGCAGAGACCGTTCAAATACTTTGGTGGTGGTTTTATATGCACGGTCTTTAGCCAACACTGAGGGCAAGTTCAAACTTCAAAATCAGCTCTTGTCTGTTTCAGTCAAGTGCAGCTTAGCACCCTTTTCACATGCACTGCAACTTATGTGAAGCTGGTGCAACGTTTACAGAGCCAGAGAGGGTTTGAGCCGGGTTACGTTCAAGTGTGGCTGCTGCACGGGAAGTCGTAAATGATAGTGGTAATCTTTTTACGACTGCGACGCTATACTGTCTGGATCATAGGTGCATGAACAATGCTTTGCTTTCATCATTATACATGTAAGAACAATGCGCACTGTACACTCGGTTTGTATGCGCCTATTGCTGTTGCCCGCTAGAGCATAATTATCACCTTGAAGTACAAAAGTGCCCTCGACTGAAAAGGACAAAAAAATCATAGTTGGGTTTATGTTACCTTTTCGTCTCCATTTTGTCTATTTACGTACAAAACTGTAATTTGTTGTTTAGACATATTTCTCTGTACAGGTGGCCTATCTGCAGGAATTAGAGCATGATATTAGTCTATTCAAAGCTATCTAGCAAAGTAGACCCTATGGAGAAATTTATAAGAAGAAAAGAGGACCATTGAGCTAGAAGTAACGCTGTAATATCCACTAACCCACCAATTACCTTACAATCAGGTCATGTGATAACATTGCACGACACTGACCAACAGTACAGACGTTCTACACCTAACTGTCAATCAGCTCTAGTACATCTTGGACGCACACTCCAACAGCCTTCCAGTTTGGAAGGTTCTAAGTTATAGAAATACCATCGGAGGGGAAGGTGAAGGCTCCTTGGTCCTCTTTTCTTCTTAAAAAGTAATCCTTGGCTCTCCACTCGAGACTAACTATGGAGAAATGACACAACCTTTCCGTAATATCAGAGCGGCATACTGGAAGATGATGCCAAAATACTCCCCCCCCCCCCCCCCTAAAAAATCGTCATTACTTGCTCCATACATCTATGTAGTGTTATTAAACAAATTAAAAAAGACCAATCTCCACACCAGTTTTGGTATTGGGCTACCTTAACGGGTCTAAGCACCCCCAAACCGAATCGCTGAACCGGCCCTGGGGCAGACACTGGTTGGGTTTTTCCTATTCAGAAAATAAAAATATATTGGCATAGGCTGTGCTATGCTTCCCATGGTGGAAAGTGATTGTACGCGATGTCATTCAATGTAATCAGTAATTTGTTAGCACCATGCAGAGATGTCTAGTGAGTGGCTGTAGACGCATTGGTTTCACTATGCGTACACCACACAATGGCCGCGTATTGACATTAAACACCGCGTATGAGCTGAGAATTAGGAGTGATTATCCGCAATATCCATCACAATTTTCGTAATTTTTAAGTACATTTGTAAGATTGTCACTGGGGAAAGGAAAGGGTATGGACTAACCAGACATATTCCAAAACAATCTAATCGATATTGCCTGAACTTGCTACTGAAAGTTCTAAAATTAAAACAAAATAGACTCATCCAATCTTACCTTTCTGCGCTTCTTGATGTTCGCAATCTGTGTTGGGGTTGGCATCGCAGGTAAGACATGATATCCTCTATCAATGGATGAAACAGCTGTGCTTGCAGCTGCTGTAGCTTCAGCCTGAAAGGATCAGAGATACAATATCCATAATGCCTCAAAATTATACAATATCATTGATTTATTTTACTAGTACATGTAAGTTACGTGAATATTTCAATTAAATTTTCGGCCAGGAGCCATCATCAGGATTGAGGTGAAAAACAAGTGAGGTGAACCCTATATCATGCAACACAAAGTGGAATGAAAGTATATGTAAGCATGACATAGTGCTATTGACTTTGGGTAAAATTGTATAGGAAGGTTGGCTGCTCCTTACACAGGAGCTCGTGCTGTGACTCAAATAGCTATCCGATATTCATGAGGTTCTTGGTGCACTGGAAACTATGCACCAAACTGCACCAAACTGTCACAGTGGGTCAACGAGACACAATCTGGGATAAAAAAAGGAGCCATTTTAGATCAAAATAGCATAATTATTAATATTTGTCTTGTTCGGATGTTTTGGTCCCTACTGACATTGACTCTGTTGGATATCGTACAACAGAGGTATGTCGTTCAACTTACTCTCGTTGCTGTAGCAGAAGCAGTGGCAGGGGTAGGGGCAGAAGCTGAACTTGAGCGGTTGTCTTGTGCAGCAATGGGACTAGAAATACGTACCTGTAGTTGAACACACCGGCACAGAAACACACACACACACACACACACAAACACACACACACACACACACACACACACAAACACACACACACACACACGGTCCTGTACTGGACTGTCCTTTCTCACTTTCAAAGATTGGTCACTTGGGTCTCCCCGGGAGAGGGGAGGGAAAAACTCAAAAGGAATCTTGGGAACAGAACTCAATTGGCTATTGAACTGCCCAACGGCCAACACCCCTGAAATTCACAAACTATGATGGACTTGGAAAAGTTGTATTTCTGAAATGATTTCTCGCGAAACATTTTCAGTTGCATATATGGCATCTGGTGTGTTCTATATCGTCGTTTCTTTTCCTGACTTCTTCAGTTAGTTTTGAGTCTCACCAGCGTCCCTGCCGTCCCACCCTTCATTTCTGTGCATATTTTTTATTACTTTTCTATCACTTTTTGCTGTGATGTGCTTGCCATGCCTACATAATGCCTAATCGCAATTGGGAATTTACACCCGGATTTTTCCCTCACTGCTGCCGCCTGCGCTAGGGTTTTTTCCCGGCTGGCTTGGACCAGGAAAATTAATCTGACGGTCCCCAGTGGTTCTGCATCATTGCCTATTGCTGCTACCCGCTCGCGCACCTATTCTATCTGAGACACTCTGTTCTCAGTCCTTGCTTCCATACCTCACTCGTTATTCGGTTCACATCTGGCTACGGCCAACTACCCTTCATCTGGCAAGTTCTTCACTCCAAAGGGGAAAAGACCCAAGTGCCATCAGTATGTGTAGCACTTTTTGTGAGCTGCCTTTGGAGTGAAAAACTTGTCAGTGCCTTCTAGGTTCAGCCTGGTCCCATAGCTCAGTGGTTAGGGCATTGCTCATGACAAGCAAAGTCCCGGGTTTGAGTCCTGGTGTGTCTGGCGTTTTTTTCTGTTTTCAGGCAGTTCCCTTCCCCGACTGATCCTTTGGATTTTCTTATCATATGATTTTTCGGCCAAGTATGGCAGGGTAGATATTGGACATAAGGTCGGCCGGTTTTTAGTGCTTTCACATGTTGGAGCGGGTTTCCAACAAGGAATTTCAACATGACAGCAGAGAGTATCGGTGCAGATTGTGAACTACCCCTTTCATGCTTTTGACCCTGTAGCTTGTGTATATAGAAACGATCACATATCCGCTCTGACGTCTACCACTCTCTAGTGTGGCTGTGTAAAACTTGTATGTATGTGCACAGACAGCCCTGAATTAGGTCACTGTTCAGTTGTGTGTGTGAACAGGTAGTCACACTCGTCCCACAGTTCAACGATTTCATGTCAGAGTCCATGTAGAAGCATGGGCTGATAAATCAGACCAGTGTGAAACCGGCAGTACAGAGAAAAATGTTGCGCAACTTACCGTAGCTGTTGTAGCAGAGGCAGTGGTAGATGCAGAACTTGACAGGCTTTCTGGCGCAGTGGTAGGCATAACCTGCAGCTGATGGAAATACACACACACACACACACACACACACAAACACACACACACACACACACAAACACACACACACACACACAAACACACACACACACACACACACACACACACACATTATGATAGTGTGTGCACATGCCGACAGGCACGCATACATTCATACACGCGAACCAAAAAACATCAACCCCAGCAGTTGGTCGTACATCAATCTCCTTCAAGCCAAGCTACAGAATACCGTATTTCCCGGTACGTTAGTTCTCCCCAATGAAAAATACACTTTCCACTGCCGAGGTTATCACCTCGAAAGACAGTTCCCCCCGAAAGATAGTAAGTTCGTACCCGTCCTACATGTACAGACACTGTACAGTACATACATGATATGCACGGACACTAGAATTGCGCCGGCTTCCCACTGCGTGTCATTTACCCCCGATAAAAAAGTACTCCCCGAAAGATAGTACCACCCCCGAAAGTTAGTACTCATGTGGCTGCTAAGTTCGAAAGTTAGTACGTACTAACTTACGGGGAAATACGGTAGTTCAATACACTATGATCAAGCCCGGCATAGTAGGGCTTGAACGTGATGACATCAAAACGGCCCGGGAGTAGTAAGTTCACATCAGAATTAGTTAACTAGTTGTATACACGAGTAGTTGGGTACCCGTGCTACTCGTGAGGACCTCGGGTACATAATAATACTCGAAGTCGCAGATGACATCATGTACAGCGTAGGTGCACAAATTCATGTAACACTCCGCATGTCTACCCCGTGTGTAGGGGAAGGGGTGCATTGTGGTGTTACCATGGAAACATTACCCGATCGGGTACCCGTGCTACCCGTGGATAACTTACCGAACCCGGTTCCCCGAAGAAAATGCTACCCGGCTCAGCTCTAATAGCAACCCACTGCTGTCTGATGCAGGTGTGACTTTTTCTTCGCCACCAGTTGTCACCCCTATCCTCATCAGCCAAACCAGTAAATTTTACCGGCTATATCACCTTGCTGTGAGTAAGACTGCTTGAAATGTGCTTAGGTCCATACAAACACTGTATCCATGAGGATCCAGTTTTTGAATTTTTGAAATTGTTGCTATGCTGTGACGTAGGACTTTCAAGCCCTATTATAAACCTCATTGCAGGCACAGATTGCAGTTGTCTGACGTCCTAATCTTCCAAAATAAGCAGTGTTATAGCGGAAACAAAAATGAAGGGGGGGGGGGGTTGCGTGGATCATCTGTCCCACAATTTAGTGAGTTTTACCGCCATCTTGTGCCTCCATTCTCTGCTGTGCTAAAACAGGATGTGTAATTATAATGCATATAAAAAGGTGGCGATCGCAATCTAAAGGTTGGAGCATTCTCTCTGAAAGGGGGAAGTGCAAGAGGGCGTAGTGCCGCGCTATGTCGCTTTATCGAGAACCCTGAGAAATCCAGCAGGCCCTCATGTTTGGGTTGGTGTCCACTGTACAAACTTCATCATCCACCAAAACGCGAGCTCCGGTGTGGGATCATCCAACTTTTCTACATTTACCGCCAAAGTGGTTTCCACTATCTGGTTAAGCAATGCCTAGCATGGCCTTCGGACTAGCTGGTTTGTGGGCAAAAGCATGGCGAATGACAATGTATCTATCCATGAAGAACAACACTGACTGACGTAGCTATCCAATATTCATGAGGTGCTTGTTGCACTAGAAACGTTGCACCAAACTGCACCAAACTGTCACAGTGAGGGAATGAGGCATAATCTGGGATAAAAAGAGCCAAATTTGGGCAAAATAATAGCAAATTTGGACTCATGCGGATATTTGGTCGTTAAACGACATCGAATCCTAATGTTCGATAACTTTAGCTGTCTTCACAACTGGCGCATGTACGCGTGAAACCACTCGTTCGTGTGTATTTTGCTGGCTTTTGGAGCGCCACGGAAAAACGCCGAAATGGAAATCTCAACATGCTGGAATTTTCAGCGCGTATCAGGCGCGTACCAGCGTACATGCCAGTCACATTGACTGGCGCGGTCAAGAATCAGTACTCGAAGGTGTTGAATGCGCTAAATACGACTCGGATTGCTGTTTTTTGTGAACGCCTGAGCTCGGGTTTGGGCACGCATGAACCGCAAGAGTACCGCGTCCACGCGTCAGTTGTGAACACAGCTTTACAAAATACATGTTGGTTATGTCATTCAACTTACTCTCGTTGCTGTAGGAGAAGCAGGGGCAAGGGCAAGGGCAGTGGCAGAAGCTGAACTTGAGCGGCTATCTTGTGCAGCAATGGGACTAGAGACAGGTACCTGCAGTTTGTTACACCGGCACAGACACACACACACACACACACAGAAACACACACACCGGCACAGACACACACAGAAACACACACACACACGCACATGCAAACACATACACACATACACACACACACACACACACACACACACACATACACACACACAAACAAAAAGTTCATTCGCATGATTATACAAGTAAATAATACAAAACATGCTGGATATATTATGTGAAGAAGAGGTTGGTGCGACTTTGGCGTTAGTAGGGGAAGAGTGTGTTGCTCCCTACATGGGAGCTCGCGGTTTTCCTGCCGATTTGAATTCTAACTTGACTGACTCACGACTGCCATCCAGAGCACACGAGAAGTCCATCGAACCGTCCACTCGGTAAACCTGCAAGAAAGCACCACTCCTGCTCAACTAACATTGTTTTGGGGAATTCAGCCCTCATCAGTTGAGCTTGAGTAGGCTGGGGGAGTCGTGAGTCAGTCAAATGAGAATTCAAGTCGGCAGGAAAACCGCGAGCTCCCATGTAGGGAGCAACACACTCTTTGGATATAATATGTTCACTTAAAAGTTTGATACCTGATACTGACCGCATGTCGGACTGGATTCTAGAGGATACCCGGTTATGTGAAGGGTTTAGAGGTACAATTATAGGGTGGTGCATGTCAGGGAGGGCATTATGAATTTTACTACCTGCAATCAGGTTTAGGGGTAACATGGCGGGTGATAAAGATTAGCTCACATTCGAAAGGGCGCGACGTAACACGCCGTTAAAAGCGACAGGACACTCATGACGCTGATTAACGGCGTCCAGTATGATTGTCAGAAACGAGAATGCAACCGTGCTACCGTACAAAACGGGAAGTGTAGTACAATTTCCCGCCTGACATGGAATCATACGAGAAAATGCTTCAGAATCAGGGCGATAATCACCTGGTGTGAAATCCGTTGTCGCACAAGATTCTGATAAATCTTCTATGATTTTTCGGCCAAGTATCACAGGATCGATATTTCACCCAAAGATTCGCTGATATTGAGTGCTTTCACGTGTTGGAGCGGGCCTCCAACAAGGAATTTCGCCATGACAGCAGAGAGTGTCGGTGCAGACTGTGAACAAGTCTTTCATACTTTTGACCCTGTAGCTTGTAGAAACGATCACATCTCCGCTATGGCATCTACCACTCTCTAGTGTGGCTGTGTGCAATTTGTATGTGTGTGCACAGATTGGTTTACAAGTGAAATAGCTCACTGTTGTGTTTTGAATAGGTAGTCCGACTCTTCAGACACAGTCCGCCTATTTCATGTTGTAGTCGGTGTCGAAGCATTGGCCGACAAACTGGCCTAGTGTATAACTGGCATTACAGAGAAAACTGTTGCTCAACTTACCACAGCTGTTGTAGCTGAGTCAGTGGCAGAAACAGAACTTGACAGGCTTTCGGGTGCAGTGGTAGGCCTTATCTGCAGCTGACACACACAGAGACACAGAGACACACACGCAAACACACACACACACACACAGACATGATGTGAGCGCATCCACACACAATAACGTCAACCCCTGTAGTCAGTCACACATCAATTTCCGTCAAGCCAAGTTACAGAAAAGTTCAATACACTATAGTCCAGCCCACCATAATTATAAACTTGATTGCTGGCACAGATTGCAGTTGTCTGATTTCCTTATCTTCCACAACAAGTCCAGCATGTCCTCATGTTTGGGTTGGTGTCTGCTTCTGCAAACTACTTCAGCCACTAGGAGCCTTCACCAATCTATGGTCTACAGTGACTGATCAAGGACTTCCATCTAACGATAGGATTTATTGCAAAATCGTGTGGGTCCATCTGAGGCTGAAGAATCGAAAGCACCAGTAACATGGGTCACATGCTGCAACCAGTTTTTATCAATGTAAACGGAGTGTCTTGTTCAAAATTTTCATTCAGGATGAACAGTCAATCTGATAAAGATATTCAGCTATTCTGTTTATTGCAATCCATAAACTGTTGGTACCTCACCGCCTTTTCAAATATTAACTAGCGTTTTATTTCTGGGATTTAAGATTCATACCTGATGGGTGGATGCAGACATCGTTGTTAGCTGGCCAGAAACCACCGAAATTTGGTCCGTCAACGTTGTCATCTGTCGGAAAGTCTGTTCGTTCGTATCACGCAGCTGGTCGCCGAGAGTTTGTACTCGGCGGTTTGTGGTGGTTTGTTCGTTGTGTATAGTGCGTTGAGTAGCAGTCAGTTGTTGTTGAGTAGCAGTCAGTTGTTGTTGAGTAGCAGTCAGTTGTTGTTGCGTCATGGTCTGGTTTTCAGCAATAGTCTCCAGATGTGCAGTAAGTCGTTGCGTTGCTGAACTCTGTTCGTCTTGAACTGTGGATACCTGCTCACGTGTTGCAGTCAGTTGTTGTGGAATTGTTGTCCGGATGTTGGTAATGGCAGCTGTAAGTTGTTGTTGAGTAGCAGTCAGTTGTTGTTGTGTTTCAGTCAGTTGTTGTTGTGTGGTGGTCTGGTTGTTGGTAATGGCAGTAAGTTGTTGTTGAGTTGTTGTCCGGTTGGTGGTAATGGCAGCTGTAAGTTGTTGTTGAGTAGCAGTCAGTTGTTGTTGTGTTTCAGTCAGTTGATGTTGTGTGGTGGTCTGGTTGTTGGTAATGGCCGCTGTAAGCTGTTCCTCTAGCGTATCACTGCGTACCGACAACGCAGTGATCGATGTAGCTTGCTGGATTAGCTGTTCGGAGATAGAGTCCAGACGACGTACAACAGATGGTGGTATGTTGGAAAGATGAGGCTGTAATGAACACAGGGGGTGGCGGTGACACAGCAACCCCACACATGACATACCAACAGCACAACACCACTCACACGACGCAATACCAACCCACCAACAGCACACAGAGGAAAATGCACACCGAAATATATTCAGTCAGGACATACGTATATGGAAGAAAAACGTAATGAATTACCAGTACACCTCTAGGGAAAACAAAGACAAAGGACAGTGATTGCCTCAGGGGCCTCTGGGTCTGCCGCGTTCGCTTCGTCGCTCGTTCCCCGTCACGTCACTATGGGACAAGTACAGTCAGCCACAGTATCTTTGTATTTGTGGCACATGCAATAAAAAACTTTTCTGGTGTTAGACTGACTGCTGTTTTTTGCGGCCCCTTTTCACACGTGCCACATGTTCCTGTCCCAGCCATGAGCGCTTGTCGTTATCACCGGACCTTGTTATCACTTTTGTCACTTAGGGTATGCCACGTTTCTATGCAGAATGAGCGCAATTAGGCCAATTTAGCCCTATAAAAATCAGTCTATACTTTTTGTTCTTTCATTCCACATCATATGCCTCCACTGATGAGCTCAGGAGGTGCGAATCAGCTGTCTGGAAGGTCATTGTCAATATCAATCTATATACCGGAATTGTCCTCGCTGTGGTGATGGTGATGTGAGTGCAGAGTTTGGATCGGCCAAAAGCCCAATGTGGTGGTGCGGCATATTGGGTCTTATGTCCTAAGGTGTCTTATGCCATAAGACACTTTAGGAATAAGGATATCGCGATGTCACCCCGAGATTATCTTCAATGGAACAGAACAGGACATAAGACACACTCATTTTGATAATTTTCTAATGAAAGAACCCTGCAATTCTCTCTAGACTAGGAATTCAGCAGGCAATATTAGGCAAGTTATAACGCATACTTGCCGCGTAGACTAGCATCAGATACACAGGCAAGTTGTAACGCATACTTGTCATGTAGACAAGCACCAGATAAACAAAACCTATCAGGCATACCAAGTGGGACATACGGGCCGCAGGGCTGAAACCAAATGATTATTGGGACACATTGGCTGGCGGAACAGTATTTCCAAGCAGCTGTAATGCTGGGAGCAGTGATATAAGTGACCGCGATAAGGACATACTGTCCACGTACAAGCGAGTCATGACTAGCAGCCCCAGACGGACTTGCATGCCGGGCAGTGGAATACTGGGTCCAGCAGGAAAGCTAAACTCAAGCCAAGATTTACGCTAGGTAGGGCTGCATTTCCGTATGAGTACTCCATGCAGTGCACAAGACAAAAAGGTACCCAGCAAACAACACACCCCTACAGAAAGCATGGCGATATGACATCATACGCTGCACGTACGAATTATGCCGGAATAATGTTTCCTCACGGGATTACATTCCCTGAATAATTGGAAGTAAGATAAAATCAGCAATATCTGCACTGCACTAGCAAGGACACCCTCTGACACTGTGATGTCCCCACCAAACATGAAGGCATGGCAGCAGCACAGGACACTAGCAAGCAACACATAATCGGCTGCCTGCACTGTCGGTTCATTATTCACCGGAGATTATGTGTAACAGTCACGTCCCGCAAGGACACTTCGTTGCTATAGACAGCAGACTATTGTGTAACACCCAGGTCCAGACAGGACATTACAAGAGGCGTTTTAGTCCGGCTTGAACACAGACTGATTGGTGCGTTTTACATAACGTATTGCGCTTGACCAGGGTTGAAAATTCAACCCGGGTTGATTTCAACAATTCCCTACGGGGGGGGGGGGGGGGGGGAGGTTTGAAAACAAGAACTAGTACTACAATACTTCTGTGTGTATGTTGCTCCAGATTTCAACAGTACTGCATAGGTAAATGTTGTGTGAAAACATATCACGTGACCATACTGGACTCTAGCCATGGACTTTCCGAGGCATATCAGTAACTGTCTTCATGTAAACACCCGCCATTTTTCTTACAACGTACAGACTTTCACCAAGGGTTGAACTCTAGAGGGTTGAAAGTGTTCATGTAAACGCAGCCTAGGTTCTACAGTGTAGCGCAATGAAATCCAGTAGAGTCACTCAAGTTTGCGTCTTGCACCATTTCGCAGCCCAGTGTTCTCAGGTCTAGGGGTGCGCAACGCCCGGCGCGTACTTGAGGGATGTGACTGGATTTCAGAGAACAGTACTGCAGTGTAGTATCCAGGCAAGGCATGGCATGCCCACACCAAGTATACATGACGTGCAGTGCAGTATCCAGGCAAGACATGGCATGCCCACACCAAGTATACATGACGTGCAGTGCAGTATCCAGGCAAGACATGGCATGCCCACACCAAGTATACATGACGTGCAGTGCAGTATCCAGGCAAGACATGGCATGCCCACAACAAGTATATGACGTGCAGTGCAGTATCCAGGCAAGACATGGCATGCCCACACCAAGTATACATGACGTGCAGTGCAGTATCCAGGCAAGACATGGCATGCCCACACCAAGTATACATGACGTGCAGTGCAGTATCCAGGCAAGACATGGCATGCCCACACCAAGTATACATGACGTGCAGTGCAGGAGAAGGACAGGTGACCATACAACAAGTACATCTCCAGACTACAAGGTCTAGCAGAGGAACAACAACCACCTCTCCCATCTTCACTGTCCTTACATAATACATTGATTTTTGTACTTGTAACGCAACAAAAATGCAACCACACTCTCGTGTGTATTGACGTGGTTGACTCAGGGATAGACGGGCAATTTGGAGAACCCAATTCGTCACCATTTTCACGATTTTTCGCACTTTCTGCGAACCCTGTTGGATTGCAACACAAAGTACAGGAGCTTGCGCTTGAGGCTTGCTGGAGCCTGGTCGCGGACTCCGTCAAACTACACCTACCTACAAAGAAATGCATCACAAGTGATTTCGCTTATCCTCCACATACAATCAGGAACGCTTGGCCATCACTTCTTCATTACATCGCTAAATAGGCACTGTAGTCAGGCTCAAGAAGATACTTTGAAATGCAAAAATAGAAATCCTTTCAACAAACTACTTACCGACGAGAGACTGGTGAATAGCTGTAACACTCGCTTCATCTCCTCGTGTACTTCCTCGGCAGTCGCTCGCTCGCTCGGTTCGTTGGAGTGGCAGCGAATTGCCAGCGGCTTCAATGGGTGGTCATCAGGGAGTCGCCGTAGATAAGCAGCACGCCGTCTGGTCTCCGCCACCACCTGCGTCGTTTCCCGTCCACTGGCGGCGTCGCGCACGATCACAACGGACGGAGCATTGATCAGGTCGATCCCTGGCATAACACCAGTGATAACAGCCAGTAGCGTAACTCCGAACGAGAAGATATCCAGCGGACGATCATAGTCAGGTTGCTCTACCAATGCCTCCGGCGGCATGAAGGCCAAAGTTCCGGGGCAACGGGTCATGTCCATTCGAGCCGCCTGGACTTGTTGCTGCTGTTGACGAGGGGATGCCAAACGTACGAATTTAGCCATACCAAAATCGCATACCTTTGCGACTCCCTTCTTGATCATCACATTTTTTGGGGCGAGGTCCCGATGGAGAATACCACGAACGTGCAGGTATCTGATACCAGCCGACGTGTCGCAGAGGTAGCCGATCAGCATCAAGCCATCCTCCCGACCCTCACCGATACTCAACTCTTCCAACGTCGAAGTCAGCAACTCCAACGCAAGAGCAGCGTTTTGCCCAACTCTGGCAATGCCCAGCAATTGGCACAGGTTCGGATGGTGTATGCGACTGAGACGGAAGACCTCTTGGCCGAAAGAACGGATTTTCCTGTCTCTGTCCTGAACACCAGGCTCAATCAAAATGGGATGCAGAACTTTCAGGGCGATATCAATTCCCTGCCAGGTCAGCCGATATACGGCGGCATCGGAGCCACGACCAAGTTCATCTTCTTGCCTCACTCGTACGTCTCCCAAGAAAACAATATCCTGATTTGTCAGGCCCAACTCTCTCATCAATGGCAAAGCTTCCAGCTCCATGTAGCGGTGGCTACTTAGAGTAGTTTCGCCTGACTGTTTATTGCAAAAGGGGGAACATTATCGGACACGGAAAAGCACAACTAACTGTAAGGAGAGCAGAAACGAAGAGGTGATTCCAATCGGGAATCACTGAGTAAAGAAGACCGAGAGCGGAATGGACGGCGGTGCTGCGTGCACACAGCAGCGACCGGAAGCAGCGTGCCCAGTACTGCGTTCAGTGCATGCGGGGACTGTGGCATAGAAGGGGAAGGGTTAGTGATGCGCAGCCAGCAAGTGCAGCGATACATGAATGCATGAGTCAATGGTACAGCAGGCAGGCTGCGGTTCTTATACAAGTACACACGTTAGATCAATGCGAGTGAGTGTAGGGAGTAGGAAGGAGAAACCTGGAGACAGACATTGATATGCCTAGGGATAGAGTTCTGTCATGAATCACATGATGCTACTCATTACACTACACTCCATGCCACTAGAAGAACATGAGCATTGTCTGCACTGAGTCAGCGACGCCAGGAGGGACAATGAACTTTGAGACGTGTTGAAGTGGGCAATTGGTTTACAAACTTCGTAACTGATACTAGTAATTTAGTTGTTGTCGTCGATTGTAGTCATTATTGCGTATCCGCTAAACACAGACCTATCATGCCATGATTTGTACAGTGCTGGCAACTGAAATCCGACCCCCTTGCTCGGCGCGGTGCCCCTGCAAGGGGATCGGATTTCAGTTGCCTGCACTGTAGTACGAGTAGTAGTAGAGTTGATGACCGTATCGCGAAGTCCGTAATGCGAGGTCCTCGTGTTGTCCATTTCAATCTGCTTTGATTGCGACCATGGTTGAATCTCGTGACCAGGTGACAGCCTACAATAAGCTGTGTGACTATGGCGAAATCTCGTGATAGGCTAGCCGGCTGTCATGCGAGCTCGATCTGCAGACTACACTCACTACCAGTACCAGGCCAGGGACTGGTTTACACGACTCCCTGCTCACTACAATTATTTTGCTCAGTAGTCCCCCTGTATCAGCTGGCACTAGTTGACGCTAACCCGCCACGTGCCACACGATGACCTTTATCTGAGCTCTCTTTCAGTGGTCTGCAAACTCTAGTTCGTAACCGTGAGGATATGGGCGCTCACCGAAACTGACCGTCAGTCGGTCAGTCAAAGCCAAAGGGTCACAATGGGCGCTTTCGATTACACGTTTACACAATTCTGGAACTGGGTTTTGTAATTCTCGAATGAGCAAAATGTACGAATTCCGGCCATGCAAACGAACGACTGGAATTCACAACGCATTTTATTCATGCCATATCACATGCCATATCACACCCGAAGACACACCACGAACACCACCGCAACAAGCCATGGCACTCTACTTCAATCCACCGAACACAGCCAAGCCAGGAAGACCTCTGACTACTTTAGTCACCCAGATCCAGCAAGACTGCGTCCACAGACAAACGCCACTCAAGAGGAGCCCGCATCTGCAGAGCCTCGGGCAGAAGGCATCTGACAGGCAAGACAGACTCAGGGAGTTTAGGTGGTTTTACTTGGGAGAGATTTAAGTACAAAAGTCTGTTTTATCTGAAAGACCAACATATTACAAGACTGCAGAGAAAATTTCAGGTCAAAATTCCAAGGGATACCAAAGTTATGGTCTTTTGAAGTTCCGTGCTATTCACACTATACGTGCATAGTCTTTACATTGAGGATATGGCACATGCACTGTTTTCGGCCGTCCATAGCAACCAGCATGGCAACGGGAAAAAAAGCTCAGATTGCTTAGATTTTCTAGTTGCTTGATTGCCCCCCTCCACAAAACCTAGGGTTACCGTCAAAATTCAAATTTAACGGCCAAATTTTAAATATGGGCCTTAGCAACCACCATAGCAACCAAGCGATTAATGCAAGAAGTCCACTAGAAAGCAACATACTTGGAGTACTAAAGACCACAGATCGACAAATAGTAATACAGCAACGGGACAACAGTACCAACACATGCTGCAGGCTACAAAGCACTTCAGTTCACCAATGCATGGCAGTGCAACCAAAAATTCTACAAGAGAGAGAGAGAGCGAGTATGCGCCGGCCATCAACATTGACAGGAAAACGCAAAGCAACATGGTCCAATTCAACACCAGCAAAAAGCACAGTGGAACAAGTAGGGTGTCAAAGTGAAGACCTGGGCTTGCTGGGAACAGGGCACTCAGCGGAAGCAAAGAAAACTAAAGCAATATTAAATAGCAATGAAAAGTATGAATGCCGCAGACATCACCACGCAACATGACAATTTGTTCAAGGTTTGGTTTTGTGTGTTTCCAAAATCGATTTTCACGTTCCGATCATCAGTGGAAATACGGAACTAAAGAGATCAAGTGAAAAACAAAGGTTAAAAATCCAAAGAAGTGTGACACATGACGGGTAACTTGTGGTAAGTTTTACAAAAAGTGAGAACTAAAATAAAGAGTAAGTGTGACAAACGGGCATGAACAGTGCAGAAACAACTCATGAACACGGGGTGCAAACTCACGAAAATAACCTAAGTGCTAAAACATGTTCTTTTTGCTTACACAAATCGGGCTTATGCGTACGAATACAAACAGCTTCAAGGACCTTCAACTGCTGGACATAACGGGCACGACACAGTACAGAGAAGTGGGAATCATCATACACACTCAAACAATCGGGACGAGATAACAAATGCAAATACACAGCTGACTTCTTACGAATTTCACCCTCATCAGCTCCATCACCTTCCCTGCCACCTGACTCCTCCTCGTCCGTTTTATCACCATCACCACCAGCCGTCTCACCGTCATCCGCCTCGTCTTCATCCGCCGCCTCGTCATCACCCGCCTCGTCGTCATCTGTATCCTCGCCGTCATCCGCCTCGTCGTCATCTGTATTCTCGTCATCCGCCGCATCATCACCCAACTCATATTCACCACCAGTCAGTCGTCTGATACCATCCATGTTCTCCTTCCTACGTCTGTCCCGTGTCACTGTCTTTACCTCATCTACGTCCCGAGATTGTGTTCCGTTTTGCCCCCGGCTTCCGGTCTCCTTCGATGCTCCGCGTGGGCCTTGGCCATTCCTAGCATATATTTCGGTTGAATAATTGGCGGTCGACCTCCGTGGTCTCTGGACCCACGGATCAAGCGCCGGACTGTGCGGACACCGCAGCACCCTCCGGCGCTTGATCCGTGGGTCCAGAGACCACGGAGGTCGACCGCCAATTATTCAACCGAAATATATGCTAGGAATGGCCAAGGCCCACGCGGAGCATCGAAGGAGACCGGAAGCCGGGGGCAAAACGGAACACAATCTCGGGACGTAGATGAGGTAAAGACAGTGACACGGGACAGACGTAGGAAGGAGAACATGGATGGTATCAGACGACTGACTGGTGGTGAATATGAGTTGGGTGATGATGCGGCGGATGACGAGAATACAGATGACGACGAGGCGGATGACGGCGAGGATACAGATGACGACGAGGCGGGTGATGACGAGGCGGCGGATGAAGACGAGGCGGATGACGGTGAGACGGCTGGTGGTGATGGTGATAAAACGGACGAGGAGGAGTCAGGTGGCAGGGAAGGTGATGGAGCTGATGAGGGTGAAATTCGTAAGAAGTCAGCTGTGTATTTGCATTTGTTATCTCGTCCCGATTGTTTGAGTGTGTATGATGATTCCCACTTCTCTGTACTGTGTCGTGCCCGTTATGTCCAGCAGTTGAAGGTCCTTGAAGCTGTTTGTATTCGTACGCATAAGCCCGATTTGTGTAAGCAAAAAGAACATGTTTTAGCACTTAGGTTATTTTCGTGAGTTTGCACCCCGTGTTCATGAGTTGTTTCTGCACTGTTCATGCCCGTTTGTCACACTTACTCTTTATTTTAGTTCTCACTTTTTGTAAAACTTACCACAAGTTACCCGTCATGTGTCACACTTCTTTGGATTTTTAACCTTTGTTTTTCACTTGATCTCTTTAGTTCCGTATTTCCACTGATGATCGGAACGTGAAAATCGATTTTGGAAACACACAAAACCAAACCTTGAACAAATTGTCATGTTGCGTGGTGATGTCTGCGGCATTCATACTTTTCATTGCTATTATTAAACTTTTATCTCCACGTAGATTATTTGAATATTAAATAGACCAATGATATTCACAATCACCGCACGCATGACTAAAAGGCGGAGTCGCACAACATGAGCATTGTGTAGGCGCACCAAGATCATCGTCATAATCAACACACACACACACACACACACACACACACACACACACACACACACACACACACACACACTTGTACTTGTACTTGCTCACTGCCAAAACTGGTCACGTGGGTCTCCCCGGGAGAGGGGAGAGAGACTCAAAAGGAATCTTGCAAAGATGACTCAATTGGCCATTGAACCACCCAACGGCCGACACCCCCTGAAATCCCCAAACTAGGGTGGACTTGAAATGATCCCACTTATGGGCTCACCACACCTCAGTAAGTGGGTGAGGACAAGGTGCAGAAAAAGGATTGACGGCATCAGGGTATCCGTCCCGGGATCCAACTGCAGGCACACACACACACACACACACACACACACACACACACACACACACACACACACACACACACACACACACACACAGAAGAATAAGTATATGTTATCGCATGGTTGCAAGGGCCTTATGGCATATTATTGCCCCGAGAGGTTAGCCCGAGGGCCGTAGGCCCGAGGGCTAACCTCGAGGGGCAATAATATGCCATAAGGCCCGCAGCAACCATGCGATAACAAATTTATCACATGGCCCACAGAGCAGACCATTGGGCTGCTGTTGAAATTAGCCCAAATGCCAACACATTATGACCACAATGTATATTGATGTGCTATCATTATCAAAACAGGAAAAATGAAGATATTTCTCCTACACCCTAACAAAAGGTCTGCTACAGGCCATCAGAGAGTATACAATACTGAAAGACGGAGACAGAAAAAAAGTGCCGGCACCGCATCGTCATAGCAATAGACATGGCAACGACAATAAAATACAGCAGAATCATAATTTCAGTTGAAAAATTAAGAGTGCTACCACAAAGAGTTTCTTCATGTTTACATGTGTATCAGGAAGTTGTCAAATACAGTACTGCAACAAGTGCAAGGATTTGTCGACTCCCTGGTGTGTAATTCTGAGGACAATTTTTCTTCTTTTTTTCAGCTCCAGATATAGCTGTATTTTTCATTGCAAAACATTCCTGAATTGTTGTGTTTGTTGTTCAAGCAAAGGTGAAGGCAGAGGACAGATGAGCCTGGTAAGAGTTTTGCGTGGCACATGAAGACCACACACAGGCAGTGACTTTGCGAGGATTTGAAAACGCACGACGCTGAGTTGAATTTGTGTTATTTCAAATAATTGTTTGTGATCACA